GCACGCACGCACACACAAGTACAAACAACCACCACTGTGCCAGTGAGTCTGATTAACGTGAGACACAAACTAAGTGATTCAACCACTCCATCTCTGTTAGGAGCTCTCCATCTATCAGGCCTGGTTTGTATGCTAACATGGGGGACTTGGGGGTGGAGTGGGGTTGGGGTTATTTTGCTGAGTGACACGTCGTTAAGAGTCTTTCTTCCCAATTGGATTTATCACTGTAAAGGAAATGCAGCAGTTTGTTTTGCAGCAGGCTTTTAAGGATATGTAAATGATCTGGAGCGAGGGAGGGAGAGGAAGATGGATTGGTTAACTCCATTATGGGCCCTGAGTGTTGCAGACAGATACAATAAAGAATGAATATAATAATAGCAAACAAAAGATAAGAGAAATCTGAGTGATTAATCCAACTCACTCAATGATGAATCACTGAGAAAACAAACAAACAACACACTATTGTAGAAAGAAATACTCATTTCATGGCAAGTTTCTTTGACACGTAGATTCAAGGATGTTCTTTTGTCCGCCTGTAACGCCAGATGTTTATTTTCCTGCTGTTCATGGAGTCCCCTCCTGCTGACCCATCTGCTTGTCACCAGTTAGATGCATGTCACTGTGGACTTAACCTCACCCAGTATGAAAACAAATCAGCTTCCTCTCGACTAGAATGCACAAGGAAAACCAAGGGTGTTTGTGTTCTCATGCAACAACGCACACTTTGGGATAGAGAGATGTATCGGAAAGTTACACTCTGCCGAGCTATGGCAAAAAAGGCTCCAAACAAAGTATGGAGAGGGTTTAGAGCAGGGGCGTCCAAACTTTTTTCAGGTAAATGATGCTTGTGAGTGTTGGCAGCTCATCTCTTAAAACAGAAGCCTCAGATTGATTATAATAAGGAGAAATAGGAAGGGTGTATTTCAAGCTTGTTATGTAAATAAGTCATTGGGCTTTTTCTTATCAACTAAGATATGTTAGAAAATATTTCTGACTGCATTTATTTGAAAAGTGGTCTTATTAACACATGAATACTATTGTGTAATATATTTTTACATTTATATTTAAGAAGTACAATAAAAGACAAGCACAAGTTTCATGTGTGGGCCATATTCCATTATACTTTTTGAATTTGCTGAGGACCGATTTAAAAGAGTCCGCGGGCCACATTTGGCAACCGGGCCGTAGTTTGGACACCCCTGGTTTAGAGTATTGAGGCCTAGTGCAGGTGTAGAGGAGCAATGGCATCCTCCAGTGCCTTAAGAACAGATATATTGGAGTGTAAATTACTCATTTTTTATTGTAAAGCTCCTTAGCTCCTAACTCTTTTTTAAGCTTGTAGTTTATGAAATGTCTGACTAATTGCAGATGAGTAACACTATTTATACATGTGCTTAACAGCCACTTGCCACTGTTTTGTTTCAATTCCTCACATTGACACTGAGCACTGATGCCCCGTTAGCAGGATTACCTGGGGTTCGTTGGGGGATCCGATCAATGCTGCAGGTGGAGGGGAGGCAGAACTGGATCCCTGAAAACAAGGGAGTGTTGTGGATATTCAGAAAAGTTCCCAAACATAAAGTACAATCTATCCACATTACACATGACTACACACAAAGGGGATCCAGAGAGTAACTGCGCAGTAAGATGTATAGCAAATCAATAACAAGGAAGAAACTAAGACACTCTGCCTAGGCCATTTTGGAAAGGGTGACATTAAGTTATCAGTAATCATTCAATTACTACCTTTTTATCTTTGATTATTAACTGAGATTAAACATCTCTGACGTTTTTTGTATACCAGTGTCAAGGCCTGTAATTTAGGTTGGTGTGCATAGGTCAACAAACATCACCTGCGTTGGCTTCAGGATCCTGCCCCGAACATGGGTTTACCATGAACCTGAAACTGCTACACTCTTACAAGATTATCAAATACAGAAATGAGAAAATCACTGCAACGACCCCTTTTAATCAAATGAAAGCTGACCCCCTTCGAGGTCTAGTGTACTTCCTTTGTTACAGTGATACATGTAGTCCTGTCTGGGTGGAGACTTTTGCTTGAAAATAAAGAAACTGTTCAAGTTCAATTAAATATGACTGATATCTTCCTAGATAACAATATGTAACATTAAGACGTTTGTGATTTATATTGAGTAAGAATGTTTCATTCGTTTTTTTATTCATTTAATCTTCAAAATGACAGCTATTAAATGTGTAATTGTAAATATTCCACCCAATCTCAACAACTTAATCCCTCCGTTTTCTGATTTTATTCATTTTATCAGGAAAAGAAATCTGTTAAAAAAAGCTTGCTATTGAAACAATTGCTCATCTTTTCAACCTTTTTTCACAGTGCTTAAGAAATGGAAAGATTATGATCCTGATATCAAGTATTTCTTAACCTTGTCGTTAGTGCATGATGCTGCAAAGGGTCACATCCCTGTTACACTCTCCACAAGCTATACCACGTTGACAATAAATTAAAGTACATGAATACATAAAACAATCCAAACATATATGCAAACTGCAGTAAAACAGATAATTTTTCCTGCATGCCATTTAGATTATACTGTAGGCTTACTTAAAAAGGCTTTTTAATCAAATAACAGTATATATTGTTTTATAATAAACACAAGTCCAGCCAGCCTGTGTAATTCTCTCTGCAAAATCTAACATCAATAAAGAAAAAAAGATGGTAATTATATGCCAATATATTTCACTGCATGACTGAATCCAGAACCCGTTAATATTTGGATTAATACATATTATGTCACTGCAACACAGGGTTAATTATGTGCTACAATTTTGCCATTTAAAAGTTAAATATGGATGGGATCCATGGAGGAAAAGGTGGTGCGTTTGATGCTGCTGAAATTGACAAAATGAATACAACAATTCAACCTAATTAACTGTCCATCCCTTTAAAAACCTTTCAGATTCAGTCAATTTAACAAACTTTGCTCTGCACATATTCAATTCAAAACAACACACGGGAAAATCCTTTCGTCTTGCAGCTCACTGATGTTTGGCTGAGAGACTCTTTCTGTTCCAGCGCACTTTATTAGAGCACAGACTTCAGAGGGCGATTTCATATAAAGCCCATTAATTAGACAGATAACACAGATGTATCTTGCAATTTCTCTGACTTTTCAGCTGTTCGTTGCTGGTACTGTAACAGAATTGTCCGTATTCTCTGGTATGTAAGCTCCTTTCCTTTCACTGAATATTCAAACAAAACAATGAGTAGAACCAAATAATTACAATGAGGCACTGTATATGAAATGCACAAAATATTGAGGCCATCTGTCATGCACCATTATATTCATCATTCAGTGTAACACGTGTCAAAAAACGGCCACATGTTGTACACCCATTCCAGGAAGCAACAGTTTAACATGTCATTACACTTATGTCCCAACATAACATTCTCAGTCTTTGATTCCTGAGAATTGAGATGACGTCTTACAGTACAAAGTACAATATCATCTCTTAGCAAGGCCTGTTTGTCAGATTATCAGACACATTTTATTTGTTGTGTATTTTTAAAACAAATGTGTCCTTTTAATGATCCTCCATGAAAGATGTGTGTATATGTATATGGCGTGTGTTTGGTACCAAGTGTATGTGCATGTAACATGAGGTTATGTGAAGAAAGGCTACATACAATAACTTTACTGGTTTGTAATCATTTTTTAGCATGAAATACAAATATTTTAAGTATCTTTCTATTTTCTATTAACAGTACAGTCTTCTTAGAGCCCCCTTATGGTCATGGTGAAATGTTTCTTAGAGGACTAGTTTTGCGTAACCTCACAATTTGCATAACATTTTTTTTCTTACATTCCTTCTGATCCATATGTCTTTTTTCCCTAAGCTGCTCCCAGTAAAAGTCCCTATGATCAGCTGATTGAGTTTTACTCTGGGCATTGGGATAAATGAATTTCTTAATCACAGTTCTAATATATAAGGGAGGCTGTGGCTCAGTGGATAGTGTGCTGGACTTCGACTCAGGGGGTAGCAAGTTCGAGTCCCACTGCAGTCAGCATAACATGTAATGTAATATGAGGAACCCATTATTGTTACTCTATACGGTCATGTGATTTGAGCTAACTTTCCCTTTAAATGTATCAACCTTGTTGGTCATAGGGAACAGGAAGCAGCAGACATGGCCAATAAGTATGGTGGAATAGCATTTTTGCAAGAGAACACAAAACATTTCTGGGGCGAGAAATATGTCGAGGTAATTCACTCCTCAAATGTTTTCCTCCATTAGCCATTGGGGGCTCCGTAGAATTCACGCTCACTCTAGAGTTGTGCAAACATCATTTCACAGCATCACTTTTTTGTATCTCTATACCCGCAGAGTCCATCCAACAGCTCACATAGTAAACAGTTTGTCCTTATAGTTATATGATAACTGCGAAGATTCACTTCACTCCAATCTAGAGTGACAATAAACAGAGAGCTCGAAATAGGTCAAGTAAATAAAAGATTCCATCATCACAGTAAGGATTGTCAGGACCTTGCATTAATGTAGCCATCTTTTCCGTAGTCTATAACAGAGCTCCGATAGAGTCTCTTAAAATAGATGTGTCAAATGTCTTTGATGTAATAAAATGATTAAACATTTAGTAGTGTATTCAATGATTAAAAAGGCAGTACTGTTCTGGAAGATAATTCACATCAGTGGTGACAACGGCTTCAGCAAAGTTCATACTGCTTTTGATAAATGTTTGTGAAGCAATGTTGTTCAGTAAACACCACAACGGGTTCATCATTGTCTTGCAGTATGGTGCGATCCATGAAACATTTTTTTTAAGCTACCAATGCAGTCTGTTGCTGAAATAATACTGCAGGTTTGAAGAAGTCCTTGCTTTGAATGCCATTGCTCACATGACATTTCAATCTGCACGTTGCTCTACAGTGAACTAGCAGGAACAAACTGTGAGCTATGAATATACATTGGGCTACATTTTGTCTGCTGAGAATGAGGTATGAGCTCACAGAGTGAGGGACACATATGTAATTTCCGCACTGTTGTAGTCGTATCTCCTGCTCCAGAGTTCCACGCTGGCACTCCTGTGCATTGATTCTCTTCTTTGTCCCCTCCTCTGCCACCTGCACCACAGAAAGGCCTCCTCCCTTGAGGAACTCTCTGTAGTATCTGGGGTTTCTTCCTCCACAAGTTCCCCACACTCATGGGATATAGCCACACAGTCCATTGTTTCAGCAATCATATCATCTGGCTCACTGTGTGTCAGGTCCACTGAGGGTAGGTCTTCAAGGTCTGGCAGTGCTGGATCTGTATCTGATGGAAGATCATCTGGGGTTGGACTTGAGGGTCCAAAGTCCATTTCCAGCGATGAATCATGAGACACTGAACTAGGAGGGGATATTGTGACAGTGACATGTGGTAGTAGGAATCCATGTACTTCTGGGGGATCATGCCGAGGCATGAGAGCTAGGCGATACTCCATTGCTGGATCCAAACAGATAGATTCTGTAGATGATGTAGGATCCACTGCAGGGTCAACAGTGGCTAGCGGTGAACCTGGACAATCTGATTGGTAGATAGGATCTAAATCCTCTGTATCATATAGATAGTCACCACTCAGGTTAAAAGGCTCTGGTTCAGGATCCATGAACACTGAGTCAAGATCATCTTGATCTAGGGAAGTCAGCATTACTAAGTCAAAGTGGACCAGATCGGCATGAAATATAGGGGTGGTATCAAGGGGTCCAGGAAGGGGTGGCCAATCTGAGTCTTGAGACTCTGGATCAGTGTCGGGTAGAGTATCTACTGAAGTGGAGGCAAAGGTTGAGACCGATGTCAGTTGCTCGGGGGGAGGGTCAGAAATATAATCTGGAAAGGTGATAATGGGATCTGGATTTGTGTCACTGTCAGTTGGACTTGCAGGAGAATCTGTGTCAGGGTACTCTGACACCACAATGGATGGATACATAATGTCAGTTGCTAAATGTAATTCTGTAACAGTCTCGAGATCAAGTGTGGGTGCATCACAGACCAATAATGGGTCTTGACCAATGGGATCAGATGGGAACACCATGGGTATATCTGAAGGTTGTGATTCTAATTCTGTTGGGTCTGGAGGATCTGGATCATCTGATCCTGAATATGGCAAAGACACAGCAGCAGAGTCTTGATACACCAGATCTGGCTTTTCACCAGAGAAAGGATCGGGAGACTCTGAATCTGACATGCTGTCATAACCACGTTCTTCAGGTGGAGAAACAGTTACTACAGGAACTGGATATGGCAGCTGTATTTGATCCCTTTCAATAAGTACTGAGTCTGGGCATTTGGTGTCATTAGGTTTAGAAGTATCTGAACGGGACTCCTTGGCTGGGCCTAAGTTTATCAGCTGCGGAGTGACTAGAATTTTGTGATCTGCTATCACTGAATCCTGAGGGCTCTCAAGATCTGCTTCTGGAGGAATTGGCACTGTACCATGAGTGGTGACTGGCTCAAAAATGACCACATCAGATGAAGTCACAACTGTATGGGCTGGTAACTCTGTTTCAAGATTGGCTAGAGAGGGCAGAGCAGTCAACTCAAATACATTTGGTTCAGCTGCTCTAACAGAGCCTGAAAGTATTGGATCCAAAGAAAGTGGTATGGCACTCTCCACATACATTGACTGTGGACAGGCCAGAATGCTTGGGTCCATAGAGAGCTGTTTTGGCAGACGACGGGCCCCTTTCTTCTCTTCCTTCTCCTCTGGACAATTGACAGCTGCATCTGCAGTGCTTTGCCGGACAAGGACCTTGCTTCTGGCCTGTGTCCCCACAGACACTTTAGATATCTGTGGTTTCTTCTCTTTAGCTGCCCCAGTGCCCGCATGTGCTGCAGAGGTTCCAACTCCTCCTGCCCCTGAGCCCTTCCCTGCCCCAGCACCTACTCCTGCTCCTGTCCCGGGGCCTATATCTGCCCCTACCCCCACCCCCACCCCTGCTCCTGTCCCGGGGCCTATATCTGCTCTTACCCCTGCCCCCGCCCTGGGTCCTGTCCCTGTTCCAACCCTTCCTCCTAAACCTGCCCCAGCAGCCATGTTACCACCTTGCGGAGACCATGTGTTGTAATGCTGTGTGAAAGTGTTGAAGTTACTGTTGAAAGCACGAAGCTCTACACAGAGGTCCCTTCTCAGATCAGCTAGCTCTCTACGCATGGCCGAGACCTCTTCTTTCCACTGCATGCTGATAGCTGCAGCCAGAGAAGCAGACTCTTTGATACTGGCCTGGATTGCTTTTGGTGATGGCCGTTCTGGGGCACTAGATCTGTGGGATCTGAAGAGGCTTGGAGAAACAGGTGGTCCCGACACAGGTTTGGCTCCTGCCCCCATGTTATCTTCTTTGTAAAGTCTGTCTCTTCTGATGGGGCAGCCTAGATCATCATGATCCAAAGGGGCCGCTTCTGCCAAATCCTCATGTACACTGGCCTGGTCGGGCAAACAAGAGTCTTCCTGAACATAATTTCTGTCTGGAAGACAAATATAAATACGTATCTGTAATATGGCCACAGGTGTGAGCAGCTGGAGAGAATGTGCTTTTTATTGCCACAAAGCAGTAACATCAAATCATGCACTGAATGCCATGAGTCAAAACAAGATAATAGCAGAAAGTGCTAATCTTATGATTATTGCCCCAATTCACCCATCTGTATGCTGTAGACGTGTATTGAGGAATTTGTATACACATCATTTTTTATTAATCTGTAATATCGTTTAACATTTCAAACCCAGTGTAACACTAGGAAAGTATTCCCATTTTGACTCATTTTGGTTAATGGTTACACTGCCTTCTCAACCTCTAATTGTAGCATGCATTCTGCGCATCTTTTCAATGCACAAAGCTAAAACTCCAAGCTCCCAGAACACATCACAGAGAATACACATTATTTTTTCATAAATGAGGTAGGAACAATCCTTGCATGCTCATCTGTTTCAGTCGAGGTAAATAAATGTGTACTTTGTGCAATGAAAAGAGGCAAAGATGAGCAAAGCTTTCTAACCATCTCCCATCAGTCATAGGTATAGTATGAACCCTATTGAAAAAATCAGGTCCAGTTTGACAGATTGATGTCCAAAATGGTGGCAAGATTTACCACATTTCAAACACTGTTTCCTAAAAAAAGGAAAGATATTAGAGTTTACTGAGAAAGCAGTGTAAGCAAACATTTATAGGTATGAAGAATTGATCATAAGCACAGCTCCAGATGGCCACACCTCTAACCCTCCCTATTATAGTCCAGCTAATGTTGTTAGTTCATGAATCTACTGTGGAAAGAGGTGGAACCCCCTCAGACTTCTCATCCGGATACTTTCTTCTTTTCTTCCCACATTCTTCATCACAAGGACATACCATTTCCTCTGTGAATCCAGCAATGCAGTAATTGTTGAAACCACCATCAGCTTACAATTTGTAATCGAGGATCAGTATCAGAAATGTATGCACGTCTCAGCTCATTAGGTTAGGATTGATTGTCGCAAGTTTGCAAAGGTGATCTATGTGACTAACCAGTGTGACAGTTGAGTTATCAGTATAATCATTGTCTCTATTAATTGATCTATTATTCGGGTCTGGACTTAATGAATGTGCAATTCTTTAAAGTGATTGCATTGTGAGTAAACATGAGCTTTGCAATAAGACACAATTTGTGTGAATTGAACAATCCAGGGATGCAGAATATTCACAGTTTATGCTGCAATAAGCATTAAACTGGGTTTACAAGTACAACAATGCATACTTTACAGACAGCAATTTCAGATTTATTCGTTCTTTTGCAAAAAAGCTTTGAGTACGTTCAGAAATGGCACCCTGTGGCACCGTAAAGAAAGTGAGATATCCAAAATGTACCAGAAAAAGCAGTCATGTCTTTATAAAGACCTGATTTTAACTTCAGACAATTTCCATTTGTGATTTTCAATAGGGTTCATAGCTTTACTCTCTGATGCATCCAATGGATGAGCAGATGAAGCACTGTATCCAAAATACAGTAGGATGAACTAGCACAGCTCACAAGTGGTAGCTACGGTAAACTTACGTCCATCAAAAACAATGGAAACATAGAAGAGTGATTCATGCAAAGATGTAAAGCTGTTTGACAGCACAACCAGTTTGCACTAACTGCTTTGTATTCATCCAATTACACATGTTAATGACAAATGTAAGCTTTTGGTGTCAAATTGTTCAAAGAAAAATACCAACATTCAGGATCTCATAAATTGTATTCTGCAAAATAAGTCCATATTTCCTTACCTGTGGTAGCCCTGATGGTGGAGGCGACGCTAGACGCCATGGGGGGGATGCAGTCATCATCCTGGGAGTAGCCGGCCTGGATGGCTCGCAGGTAGCTGTGACTCCGAGTTCTGAAGCAGCCGGGCAGATCCAACGCCTCCATGGCCTGGGATTCAACCTCACTGAACACCGACTCGCACACTGATTCAAACTGGCCGTTTATTTCTGTCTCACTCATCTGTGAGAAACAAAATCTGTGAGCATGCTGTCCTAATTGTTAATCCACAGAGTACATTTGAATAAATGTATGATCTAAGAATAATAAAGAAATGGCTTGTTGCTCTGAATCCAACACTTGCATGTGGTAATATATGTCTCAAATGTTCCTGGAAATGGATCTTTCATATTTGCACACTGGTAGATAACCTGGGGCTGATTGCTTATTCTGTAATAGATAACAACATCAATCATGGTCATACTGTGTCAGAGAGTTTGCTGTAAAATACCTGTTGTTAATGTCGACCACAAGTATTTCTGTTTCCTGTTTCAGATTGTATGATGTATTGAGTAATGGTTCTGAGAAAGTCAAGTATCACAGATAAACATCTTGCTCTTTTGGGATGTTGAATTTGTAAGTGTTTAGTTGAGGCTTTTAAGACTCTGAACAAATCAATAAACCTCTCTTTTAAGAGGGAGATTCATATCTCAACAACCCCTGTAGGCGTCGTTTAATCCATCCAGATAAACAGTGTGGAATGAACTGTCAAATCAAATAAGTGTAATAAGTCAAATGAAGCTCGAAAAAAAGAAGCCACAGGTTTTGAAAAACAATAACTAAATGGTTTACAATTGAAGATTTGCACTGAGAATAATAACTATGTTTTGGACACTAAGCTTTTAAATCATCAGCGACTTAACTAATTTCCCTGTGGGCTCCATGGGATCTCCTCAGGGTCCCTCGGCTTCTCCCCGAGTAAGAGGTACTTTCACAGATCACTTATTGAAAGGGTGCAGACTCACCTGGCTCACTTGGCTAACACAGCTAGCCTGGCTGAGGGTGCTGACTGCCCGCATGTAGCTCTGGTTCCTGGAGCGAAACTTGGGAGAGTTGTAGTTGGCAGAGGGATCCAGGGCAATGCTTGGGTGCATGTCCCTGGTGGCTTGCAAGTGGTAGCTCTGACTGAACAGAGAGAGAGAAGAAAAAGCAAGAAAGGAGTGGGACTACAGCCATGATGACTATTTCCTAAGCAAGTCAATTAAACATAATTGAACTTATAATCAAAGCAGATTGCCAAGTAACTACAGGTTTAACATGATGACAAAAACAATAATGTGTTATCAAGGGAAGGGGCCTTCTCCAGGTAACCTGAACTTACGAGGGAGACTGGTAATGACCTTGTGTCTCCTGAGAGGGGAGCCTCTCTCTCTCTGTCATTTTCTCTCCCCCACTACATTGATGTTTTCACCAGCGTCCTTACAAAGGCAGTTCGATTTCTGTTGTGCTGAAACGTTCAATCAATGCTTGGAAATGAGGGAAATGCAAATCAGGAGCTAGTTAGTGAGCAAGCACTTCAGAGAGCACCCCGGTGTCAGCCGGGTCAATTAAATGTGCTACACCAGCAGTGCAAGGGATGTTCAGAAACCCAAGTGTGGTTTGAAATCTGCTGGAAGGAAATAGAAAAACATGGAAGAAAAATGCGCTTTGAGTAAACTAGAGAATACTCTAGTTCATTGCATTAGTAATACCAAATTGAGGTCCTCTCGGCCAGATCCATTTCTAATGGCAGGCAAGGATGAGTAAGCAGTTTCTGTGCTTTTCATAGAGATAAACATTGGGGTTTGGCAGCGAGGAAAATGCCAGTGTGATTAAAAGTCCCCCAATCCATCTTGTCCTGCTGAAGCAAGGCTGTGTGTGTTTGCAAAGTAACATCAACCTTCTACACGTCCAAAGGCATCCTAGAGAAGAAACATCCAGAGGAAAAGTCTGAATGAAGTGGTAAAAGCAAATAAGCTATACATAGGAAGTGCTGGTGTTATGTATAGCAATGAATCAGATCATATCTATCATGTGTTTAACAGCGCCTTATGCTTTGCCAGTATGAGCACATTGCCCTAGGTGACCTCTCATTGACTGGTCTTGAGTGTTTGCTCTGTGAGGCGGCCATATTGGGTATGTCAGCAGGGCAGCGAGCCAGCTGGCTCTGGTGTCTGACCACTGCAACACGGCAGCAACAGAGAGCAAGGAGAGGGGGAGTACTGGGCCTGTATTCACCTTAAGTCTGCCGCAAAATTGGTGATGTAGTTACGCATGTCACTGTTGATTTTATCCAGGCGGAAAGAGCTGTGGGTAGAGAAGAAAACAGAGTTACTGGGTCCCACAAGTGGGAGTTGGATGGATATGACGTCACTGGGCAAAGGTCCAATGGAACTGGCTCTGTATGGGATTTGAGGTGGATTAAATGTTTGCTTGGGAGTCCTGCAAACATTAGGGTGATAGAATATGACCAACCTCAAGAAATGTTAAAAGTGAGAGGATGATTCTGTTATATTACTTTTGCAGAAAGAATCGCCTGCTCAAGGCAATATGCCATATATGAAACATGTACATACACAAGTGGCGATATTAAGTGTGTATTATGAGTTTTGTTTCATAATTTTTGTGCAGAAATGCTGCACACAAAATACAATTACACCACATCATAAAACTTGATTATTTCCCATGTGACTTGCTTAAGTGGGCCAAATGAGAATTAAAAATACCTACCATCCTTCCCTGAGCAATGAAACCTAGTCAAGCTTTAAAGCTGATCAGATATAAGTGCACCGCCTGACGCATAACGGAGGCTTCCTACATCCATCCCGGCCTGTAGAGATGTCTATTATCGTCAGTTGATTGAAGGGAGGCTTTTTTTGAAAAAAGCATTGGCCCTTTATCAAATCATGCCAGAGCAGATTTCCTCTAATGTCTCTGATTGGTTCTAATGCACTTCCATTGTTGGCCAATATTAAGGCATGGGATGATGGAAATCTCACACTTCCCGCCTTCCCTGCGGCTGAAAGCAAGGAATTTGATTGATAGAACAGAAAGAACAAGGACAAAGGACAATCTGAAAAAGAAGTTAAAGAACACAGCACGAGAGAAGATTTGGCATAAAGTGTTAACATACAGTGTGTACTCACGTCTCACATATGTGAGGAAAAGGGAAGGAAACCTGGGGGGAATGCGACTGCTAGACCAGAAATAAGTAGATATGTTTCCGTCTTGGCACACAAAAGGCACTCTATGGAGAACAACTACATTTTCACACCAGGGAATACATGAGAAGTTCAACAATACACAACAGTAGCATATTCATTGTGTGTGATTTACAGGCCTATAAAACACACACAACAATTTGTATTCAACTATATTGCCGACCCAAGCTATGAGTCAAAAGATCAATACAGCAGTTGATACGTTTATAAAAAGGACATTAGGTAGCAGGATCTTTGACATAGTAGAAAGTGTTCTATTCATAGCGGAGGCAAAAAGGTGTTAAGAAAAAAACCTATGCATCACACGTACCGCACAGCCACAAATCAATGGATTGGAATTCTGCTTTGACCTTGAGATCTGAGGGAAAAATGCTTATACAGTATACCCAATTTTAACTGAATGAGTAATTACATTATAAGGACTTATCGGATTATCAGAAGATTTGCCAGTGTTAACTATGATTAATTATGGTGCCAAGAGAAGCTAATCATGGATGGGCAAACAAATGGGTGTTATTTACCAAAATTACAAAAATGGATGGGATTGATTGGCTTGTGGTGTTGAAGTAATTTAAAGAGGAAGGAAGTTGTCAGAGATGAATACATGTGATTCTGTTCATGTGTGTCAATGCAACGTGTCAATCAATGCCTATCATCGTTAAATAGTCTTTAAGCATCTTTCAGTGCTACTTTAGCAACGAAAAAAAAACCTGATTCATATTCAATTCATCACAGCTGTCAGCTCTGCAGCCTACAGGACCCCAGGGTGAGGATGTAATGGTAGGGGACGGGGGGGGGGGGGTGTAACTGATTATTCATTAAAATAATCATTGACATCTAATTTTCCTTCCAGTGCACAGGCTGTTCCAGCTCGGCGGCCCCCATGGCTGGGAGGTATTCTCTATTGGTGAGACGAAACAAAGAGGCAATCCTGTCAACAACGAGAGTGACAGAGAGCTCAAAAGAGGTAAAGATGGAGGAAGGTGACACAACCTGACAGCCTGTTCTCACTTTAACATGATTTGCTTCAGGGAGCAGATGCTGTCAAATTTGTGTTTGGTCCATCTGACTGCCCCTGTGGGACATTAAATTGCTAAAAGAGCAGAGGAAGTTGAACCTACACCATGTCTGTCTGGTATCCAATCTAATTCCATCCCAACAAACCCAATGAACCATAACACCATGAGAGCTCTGTCAGGTGGCATCTGTGGGGCCTTTTATGTGTGGATTTAAAACGGTAACAGGTATTGATGACAAAACAACGGTGCCAAGAAAAATAGAAGACAATAGTCAACCTTCTAAGGTTGCTCTGCAGAAGTTCTAATATACATGTTCAACAGGACAGGACTTATTGTTGGCTATGTCCAATCTGTTTCCTTTTATATTCAGCGACATGGTAACTTGTGGCAAAAGATTGAGATATAATGCTCAAGGATTTTTTGAGTTAGTTAAAGGTGGGGTAGGTAATTTTGAGAAACCGGCTCGAGATACACTTTCTGTTATATTCCATGGAATGTTCTTAACGTCCCGATAGCAATGAATATCTTAAGTGCTTTGACAAAAAATCCATAACAAAAGGTCATCTGTGGAAGCCGTAGTACTTTAAAAAGCACGACCAATCATTTTAGCCGGCCCGGCTAAAATAACTGGATGGCCTACCTGCCTGTCAGCCTTCCACCTGTGCACAAACTTATTTTGTGTCCTCATTGGCCGTGTGCGCGTTCGTGTGTGTTGGAGGAGGGGCTCTGTAAGGAAGTGGCAGATTTTTTCCGGTTGTGTATTTTCAAATTCTAGCGCACTCGAGCTGGTTTCTCCAAAATTACCTACCCCACCTTTAAAAGAGAGATTAGCAAACTTTAGAAAAAGCACTATCTTTCTTTTACAAATTCACATTTGGGCCGTTTTATCAGCCACGGTACAATACTGTTAATTTAGTTAATTTCTACTGTTGGAATGTTTAAATGTACCGTTGCATTACAGCTACAGAAACTTGAAGATTTAAAGATTAATAAAAAAAGCAACCTTTCACTTCCTAACATTTCCCTTTCAGTGTTTATTAATCCTACTTACAGAGCACTTCCTGTGTCCCTCCATCACAAATTAACCTTTCTCCTCTTCTTCTCTCTTCCCCCCTCTCTGTCCCTCCTCTTCTTGCAGCAAACTTGTTCACGTGAAAATTATTGACGATGAGGAGTATGAGAAAAACAAGAACTTCTACCTGGAGCTGGCCGAGCCTCGCATGGTAGACATGAGTCTGCAGAAAGGTGCGGTACTGAGGAGTTTTCTTCATCTCTTTACACTTCCTCTTCCTCTCTTCCTCAGTCTCTCGCTCTCACATGTTGTCAGTCTTATTTCTCGCTGTTAGTCGTTGCTGTTTTCCCCCGTTTTCTTTTATGAAATTCTGAAAATGTCTGCAGAATCTGTAGTTTCCTCTCACACACATATCCAGTGGTGGAAGAAGTATTTAGTGTGTATTATTTATGTTTAACTATACAGTAACACAATCTAAAAAACACTTTTCCACATGTCATACAATCAACATCTTTAGTATGTATAATTGTTTGTTTGAAACATATTTTCTGCAATAATCCAAAAAAGCTGTAGCTTGATGTCATGGTGAAGCAGTGTGGCATCATGGGAGTTGTAGTCTTCTCCTGGTTAGGATTCCTTCAGTGTTGATGGTTCAGGAGGTTGTTAGCGTCTCCTCCTCCTCTCTGATTTAAAGGAGTAAAAACTGTCAATAAAGCAGTTTGACGATGTGTGTCTCAAACATGCATTAAACTGACTTTGTACCTGTCAGAAAATGTGTGTTCTTACATGCATTCCCTCTGGGTATTGTCTAGATAATTTCAAGGCTGCATTGCATGTGTAAATGTAGATTTTCCCTCTTCTTTGCCCACTTTCTTTACCTTAAATTGTACTTTTATCAAAGGCACTGCCACCTTTATACCCCTACCTCTCTTTTCTTAAACATCATGTACCCCTTAAAACTCTTTATCCCACAGCCATGCTTTCATATTACACTCAAAACACACACATTTTCATCCAGGGGCCGGTACTGAAGTGGGCCGGTCGGACGATGTGGACCGGTCGGATAAGTCACTAGCACCCCCGTCGACAATTTACTAGCGGTATTTACTTGCGGCACCGAGGTGGGCCGGTCGGATAAGTCACTAGCACCCCCGTCGACAATTTACTAGCGGTATTTACTTGCGGCACCGAGGTGGGCCGGTGGTACCAAAGTGGGCCGGTCGAGAGTCCCGGGCTGATTTGTAGTCCCAGTCCGCCCCTGTCTTCATCATAATGCCAGTCCGCTGAGACTAGACATCGTCATCTAGGAGCTGCCATCATTTACCTTCTGCCATTATTATGTAAAGACACATTTTACCTAAAGCAGAGTCTGGTAGCTGTTTTTGTGCCTGTTTGGGAGAAAGTGCGTGCAATCTGCTGCTGGTGAAATGAGAGTATTGATTCATGTTTGGCTCTAAGGCTGCACAGGTCGGTTTTGAAGTTAACACAGTGTGTGAAACTTTGTGAAGAAGCTCTTTTAAGTTGTGTTCAGATCGTTTTGAGGTCATGCATCTTCTGACGGGGGCGATGTTACTCACCACGAGATATATATATATATATATTTGTTTTATTTGACTCCTCTGCACAGCTTGTCTTTAGGCTGCAAGGTGCATAAAGAAATAAAGGAGGAAGAAGAGTTCCCATCAGAGTGAGTCTTCATCAGGAGTTGTGTTTGTTTTCCTGTTTGCAGAAGTTAATGTCAGCTGAAAGAAGCCAACAGGCATTTTTTGTTAAAGATTTGCTGCCGTTATCTAACGCGGTGTTATCTAACCGTGAGCTCAACTTTCTCGTTTTATTTCCGTTTCTCCCTTTACTGTTTTCACCAGTTTGTATGCCTTAAAGATCACCTATCATGATATTTTTAGGCAATAGCATAGGTCTCAGATATATAATATATAAAAAAACATGTCTATGAAGTGTTTTGCTCAAAATACCAAACAGATCACCCATTCTAGCCATGCCTCATATCCCTCTATTTCACTTCCTGTTTCAAAAGTGCTGATTTGGGGTATAAAGCTTTAAAAAAAAAAAAAGATTGATTAAAAAAA